CCCTAGGCTCGTGCTCCCTTTGCCTCACTGCTGCTCCTCGCCCCAGTCCCCGCCCGCTCTCAGCCCACTCAGAGATGCCCCAGGCCTGCTCAGGGTTCTGCTCCTCCCACCACTTCTCGGGTCTGCCCTGCTGCGCCCTTCTTCCCCACGGGCGCTTTCTTCGCGTCAAGCCCCGCCCTTCCAAACTTGCTCTGCCTCCAGCGGCTCCTCCTCCCTAAATCCCGCCCCTTATCAGATCTTCAGCAGCTTGGTCCTTCCTGGTCCCTCCTTCCCTGCCCAGCGGCGGGTCCCCCTCACCTTGCAACGGCGACAGCAGAGCCCGTCGCTGCACATGGCGTCATGAGTCAGGGTGCATTTCTTGCAACAGTTCCCGCCCGCGCGGCTGCACTCCTGAGGGACGCGGGGAGAAGGGGAGGGAGGCGGGCGAGCCCGCACCCTCCCCACCCGGACCCTCCCTCGCGCCCGCCCCCGCGTCCCCTGTCCCTCACTTGGCACTGGTCGCTCACCTGCACGGAGCCGCAGTCGCACTCCTCCCCCGCCTCCACGAAGCCGTTTCCGCACTCAGGGGGGTCCAGGAGCTGGACCGGGAAGGGGTGTCGGGAGTCTGACCCGGACCCGATCCCAAGCCCCGCTCCCAAGTTCCACGCCCTGGGGCTGGTACCTTGAGGGGCTTGTTGAAGAGGCAGCTCCCGCCGCCTTCCTGCAGAAATTGGTTGTATTCGTCGATGCTGCAGCGCGAGAACTTGCGGGGCAGGTAGAACCTGGGGAGGGGGTGAGACGACAGTGCCGCTGGGCTGGCCTGTGTCTCCCCTCCAGCCCTCTCTCTCTCGCCTCTTCTCAAGATTGGGGATGGGCTGCACCAGGGACTCCGTCACTGTCTCGAGGAGACTGAGGCTCTCTGTGCCTGGAGACTGCACAAGAATCCTCCCGCCTGCCCATCAAGAGGTAGTGGGCGGGGGACGTCGCTCCGGTCCCTTCCCTGCAACCCCTGGACTCCTAGAGTCAGAGGTTGAAGCGCCAAGGAGGGAAGGTGCTTCCAAACAAGGTTTTGGTGCCGCCCAGTGGCGATAGCGCACACTACAGTTTGGTCAGTTTTGATGTTCGGCAGGGAACTCTGGGTCTCCTTGTGCAAAGTCCTGCAGAAAACTGGGCTTCCTGGAATCCTGAGTGGTCCTGAGAGCTGGATCTCTTGAGGCCACTGGCTCCATATTGCCACTGCAATGCTTTCTCTGGGACTCTCCTCGCCCAAAACCCTCCCCTGATTTGTCCCCAAGAGCTCACCCAGTATCCTCCATGATGCAGCCCAGCCAGTTGTCCGGACACTTGCAGTCCCCTGAGAGGTGAGCCAGGTGGATATAAGGGAGCGTAGATGACCACCCCCCTCCCACAGACACCCTTTTCACTTCTGGAACTGCTGGGTGTGGGTCTCGGCTGATTATGGGGCCATATGGGGTCTTCACTGATACCTGCTGAGCTCCGGTGTTTATTCCACATCATGCCCAGGTTCTGACCCAGCGTCTGGGCCAGGGTCACCGCCATGGCCCCCATGTTGTCATACTTGGGGTGAGGAAGATGGAGCACAAAGATGTCTACATCCTTCCAAAAGGCACAGGGCTCATGCCCTTAGCAGTCCCACTCACTCTCACCCCCACCCCAGCTGTGCCCCCACACTGCTCACCTCGTTCACACCCCCACCCCTGGACAGGGAGCAGATGCCCCCCACGTAGGCAGCCCCGCTGCTGGTGCTCTGGAAAGTCCTGCCCCTGGAAGGGAGAGGGTTATCAGGAAAACCTCTGCCCTACCCATAGTGGCTCCCCTGGGCTGTGAGAGGGAGACAGGGAGCCTCTCCCACTACAGCCCTTCCTTGAGGACGTATTGCCCTTTACATCAGCCTGTGTGACCCTCTCTGGGTTTGCTTGCCAATAAGCCAAATGAAAGGTTCCTATTAGATCATCTCTAATTGCAAGGAACTTTTATCAGATTTTTCCCCCCTACCAGGAAGGGATGCTGAGGCAGTTCGAAAGGGGAAGAGGGGACAAAGGGGAGGTAATGGGCAAAGGTAATGGCAAAGGTAAAAGGAAGAGGGGCATCAGCTTAAGATGCAGGGGAGGATGCCCAGCCTGTTGCATGGCAGGGGGCAGGTGCAAGGTAAGCCTAATCCCAGACCCTGCAAGAGCACCCGGCACAGGGCAGGTGTTCAATAACCTTATGCACCACGGCCACCAGCAGAGGCTGGCAGGATGCTTGGGACAGGGGACTCACGAGAAGAGGTGGGTGGCATCGCTAGGCTCAGGTAGGCCCTCCCGTCGGTACACCATGAGCCGGGCCAGGGTCTCCAGGAGGTCATCCTGTACCTGGATCTTGTCTCCATCTGCCCACGTTTCCATGGCAACAAGCACAATTCGGGTATTGAGCTGCTCCTTGTACATCTGGGCCCAGACGGGAGAAGATGGGGAGAAGGCTGGAGGGTGGGAGTGGGTGTGGGGGAACAGGGCCGGAGGAGGGCTTCAATCTGTGCTTCCAGGAAGTGGGGGTCAGTGGCTGATAGTGCCCTCAAGAGCTCACTCCAAGGATGTGTGCAGCCAGGTGGGGTCTTACAGGGAGAGAGAGGGGAAGGGAGGGCTGCTCACCACATCTGCCAGGTTCACCACAGACTTGGCAAAGTTGCTGGTGAGGACCACTGACTGTCGCATCTGTTCAAACTGGGAGAAGAGTGGGTGGAGGGTGATGCTGTTTCCGTGGCCCCTCCTCCCAGAGTTGCCCCCAGCCTAGGAACTTACCAGCTGGTGGTCATTGATCACGATCAGCTCCACATACTTGGTCTCACTGTGCACTGTAGGGTGGCCCCGGCGGACCTGGGGGATGGGTGGGCACTTGGAATCAGTCCACTCCATGCCTGGCATTGTGGCCAAGCCATGGACAGACTCAGGAGTGGTGAACTCCAGCCAGGGACAATACCAGTCCCACTGGCAGGAGTCCCATCCTTCCCCAGCCTTGACACTAGGGCAGGCAGCTCCAATTAGCCCACCACGGGTGCATGTGTACACACTGGCATTAGGGAATGAGGTGGGGGCGCTTCCTCCCAGAGATGGTTCCCTGGCCCCCAGCCACATCAGTCCGAGCCCTTCTTTGCCCCAGCCATGAATAAGGGTGTCCTCCTGCTCTGGACCACAGCCTGAGGTCACTGCAGCCTGAGGTCTCTGCAGCCCGAGGTCTGTGCGGGCCCCGTACCTGCCTTTTCCTTCTCAGCCTCGGCCGGTTCAGAGGAGCAGAATGGGCAGGGGCAGCGAACAGGCAGCCTGGGGAAAGGGGCAGGTGAGGGGAGACACAGCCAGCCCCCTCCCCAGCCCCACTTTCCCTCCCTTACCTGGTTCCCTACATCCGAGGGGGGCTGGGAGGAGAGGGGTCCGGTAAATGAGGTGGGGAAGGGGTCCCTGCAATGAGGGGACATTAGTTCTTGGGAGCTGACCATGTCTGTTCTGAGCCTAACTGGGGTGGGGGACAGCACCAGCCCTTCCCCCCACCCACCCCAGGGTGACCCAGAACTGGCCAGAGCTCCCATGTCGGATCTGATCTCCCAGATGCTCAGATTCCGGGGTCAAGACCTGGGGGCGCCCTGAGAGATAGGGGCAAAGGACACTGGAGCCCCATGAGAGGTTACCTGGGGGACAGGGGACATTGGAGCTAGGGGCACAGGCGGAGGGAACCAGAGCTGGGGTCACTGAGGAGGGCAGTGAGGCTGCGGTTACCAAGGGAGGAGGAGGAGGGAGCAGTGACAGCCATCAGGATGAGCAGGGCTATCAGAGGGGACCATGAAGGCTCACCTGGGGGGCTTCCCGAGGCCCAGCCATCTCTCGGGGCTCCATGATGTAGGTGAAGTTCCCATCAGAGAAGACCCCACTGCAGAGAGAGAGGCGCAGCTCCCCCACTGTTCCCAGGCCCGGGGCTGGAGGCTTTTCCCCCAGCCACCCAGCTCCTCTCCATACTCACTGCAGCCCCTGGCAGGTGGAGAGGGCAGCAAAAGAGTGGGGGTTCCCTCGGAGCTTCCCCTGGTAATAGCAGTGGTCTCCAGCCCCCTGGAGGAAGAGCAGAAGGTAAGTGGACATGCCCCTCGCCCTGGCACGGAGGCATGGAGGATGGTCGAGGGCTGCTGAAGCTGCCCTGTGCATGCAGCTGGCTGCAGTCCTGGGTACACCTGGAAATCTGCAGCCTGGCTCTACTCCGGTCAAGCTCTTAATTTGCTGTTTCACCCTGGGAAAGTTCCTGGCCCTCTCTGGCCTCTACCTCACCTAGGAAATGAGGATATTGGACTGCATCAGTGGTTCTTAACCATTTGCTGAGGCTGGTACAGGGATCCCAGACTCCTCTGAGAAGAACAGCTAGCATTCATTAGCACCTGCTGTGTGCCACGCACTATTCTAAGCACTTACCATGGATTAGCTCACTTAATCGGATGAATGCTATGGACTCGCTCCCAACATGTACACGCAATTTCACACATAGTGTATTCAGATGCCACTGCCTCCGTGGTCCACTCTTGGACACGTGGTCCGTGGCTGAGAAACTGTGAGGAGTATGTGTCCTCCTGGCCCAGGTCAGAGGGGACCAGCACCCCGTTTTCTGCTTCCTGTAGAATTACTTGTGCTCCCGTTCCTGAACAGGCTGGGTGGGGGAGGAGGCTATTTATAGCCAGTCATTCATCTTTGCTGCGTCCCTGAGCCTCCAGGGCTGGGACCTTGGTGTCCCAGGCAGCCAGGAATTCCCAGAGCCTTGATGCTGAGCAAGATGGCATTTTCCCCAAGAATGTCTGGGCATGGAGCAGTGAGGGTGCTTGAATGCCTCTATGCTGGGCAGAGAGGTCGGCCAGGGTCAGGCTTCTGGAGCCGGGCGAGGGGAGCCCAGGGCTCCACACCCTTCGACAAGCCACCCTGACCTCAACCCTCAAAGCCTCCAAGGTGGGGAGATGGAGCGTCCCGAGTGTAAAGTATACCCCAAACCCCATCTCCAATGGCCACCTGTCCCTTCATTCCGCCTCCTCTGTCCCCTTCCAGTGGCACTCACGGTGCTGTGCTGGGTTGTCCCTTCCCGGCTGAAATGGCGCTCCACGTATTGTGAGGAGAGGAGGTGACTGAAACAGAGTGTGCACGAGAGGAAGAAGGGGTCATCGGTGGAGCTGAGTCAGGCTTGGGTCCCGCCTTGGCTCAAATCCAGGTCCCCCGTCCCAGCCTCGTTTCCCGCTCCAGCCAGCCAAGTCCACGACATGCCTCGCTCACCCGCCTGCAGCCCTTCCTCCCAGGCTCAAGGCCACACTCACTGGTTCAGCTCCAGGTCCAGGGTGAAGTTGGAGTTGAAAGCTGGGATGACGAAACTCACTTGGGCCAGGTGGACAGGCTGGAAGTGGGGAAAGGGCAGAGAGGGAGTCAACTGGGGGAGGCCTGAAGGTGGGAATTGGGGAATCAGGGAAACCCTAGAACAGGGCGTAGCCCTGGAGAGGGGAGGGCCCAGCCCAGCAGTTGTGAGGATCATTGATCTGGGGGCAAGATGCTTTGTGAAAACTCATCTTTCTGCAAGACTCTGTCCCTTTCCAGGGGGCAGGGGGCAGAAGTGCACATCCCTGGGCACCATCCACTCTGCCCACTGGGTCAGCGAAGGGAGCAGGTGCCACTCTACCTCTCTGGGGACAGTATCCAGGAGCAGCAAGGATGCAGAGAGGCAGCTCAGCCTGCCCAGTGCCTAGGCCAGGCCCTCCCTGTTGGCAGGGTCATCTCACCCTCAGGTGGATTAAAGGGAGGCCCTCAGAAGTATTATGGGAAAGGGGCAAACAGGAGATGGGGTGCAGTGTGGCCCCAGAAACCTGCTGAAGCAGTGCCTCCTTTTCTGCCCCACTACCTTGGCCCCAGCCTCAAATTAAGGAGGAGGCCTCAGACTCTGCAGACAGGGGTAAAGTGGGTTAGAATTGATCGTGGGTCCCTAGAAGCTGGGGGGATGGGCACATGCCATCCCATCAGTAGGAAAGAACTTGGCTCCCCTACTCCCAAGTCCATTGCCCTCTGCCTTGCCCAAAGCAGCTCATCTCATCTTTAATATTTCAATCCCATGGTTAATTTTTAAACACGGAAGTTTTCCTGATAAATTTTGCAGAGGGGACTTTGCAGTGGGGATGGGAGGCTCTGAGTTGCCATGGCAATGTACTAGGCCTGAACAAGATGGCCGCCCCACCCAGCTTAGGCATCCAGCTACTGTAGGGGAGTAGAGACTCCAGACCTGAAGCTAGTGTGCCCCGAGGGAAAGCCATCCCAAGACAAGAAAGGGCAGGAGAGTTTGGGTTGAGGGGGAGTTGGCCTCTTGGCTCCCATGTCCCCACCCCAAGGTTTAGGTTCTAAAAAGATCAGGAAGTACGGAAGAGGCCTGAGAGGGGTTGGAGCCTTCTTCCCACCCTGTCCATTTGAGAAGACTAAAATGCAGGCCCCCAGATGAGGGTCCCACTACTATGTTGTGCAAATGTGAGGGATTTGTTTGTGCCTTTCTTTGGTAGGAAGCAGATTGCAGGTTGCAGGATGGAAGGGAGCCCCAAGGTCACTAAGTCATAGCCTGGTGCTAGTTGGCTTCATCGACCACCTGGATTTCTACTCTTTACTGAGCACTGTTCTAAATGCTTTACAAGTGTTATCATATTTGGTCTTCACAACAACTCAATGGGATAGATGCTACTGTTGTTCTCATCTGACAGATGGGGAAACTGAGGCACAGAGAGGATAACTAACTTGCCAAAGTCAACCAGCTAAGAAATGGTGGGATGGGACTCAAGCCTAGGGAATCAGATTCCAGGGCCTTCTCGCCAAAGGTAAAGTAAGATTTAAAATGGCCCAGTGTCCATGAGAGGCCCTGGGAGAGGGGGTGAAGTGAAGGGGTGAGGCAAGAGCCTAAGTAGGCAGCCCTCTGAACCTCAGGGACACTGACTCACCCCATTCCAAGCTGACTGAGGCTCCAAGCTTTGTCCTGAGCCCCAAGAACATCGATCAGATTCGAAATGAAAAGTCAAGAACAAGGAGTCGCAGCTTCCCCCCTCCCCCCAACGGCCTGGACTAGCTCTACACCCACCGCACCCTTGGCGTGGACCACCCCTGCCCTCCATCTCCCCTCCTGGGCTTGGACTATCTCTGCTTTCCCCACTCATCCCTGCCTGGATCACCTCTGCACTCCTCTGCCCCCCAGGTCTGATGCAGCTTGTTCTTCCTGCTCCCCACTGATAAGCCCCTGTCCCTATCCTGGCCACTCCAAGAAGCAGCCTGTCCAGGGCCCTTTCCTTGATTCCACTTTCTTGGGCTGTGCAGCCTCAGGGATGATCCAGCAACCTCTCTGAGCCTCAGATTATCCCACTGAAAATGGTACGATGAGCCAGACACAAGGCTGTGAGGTTGGCTTGTGCGGTGGGGGTCGGCTTGGGCCAGGAGGATTGTGGCAGAGTTGGCCCTGGCACTAGCAGAATCTCCCCTACTCGAGAAGTCAGTGAGATAACTCACTTGGCTTCTCCCCTCTCTGTGCAGACAAAGCTGCCCCCACTGTATGGAAAGCCCAGACCGATAAGGGAGCAGACACCAGGTCCTCCTTATCCTCATCATTTCCTGCACCTGCCAAAGGCAGTGGGTGGGAGGAAGGGGAAGGAGACCAGACACCTGGGTGAGTTTGCCTGGCCTGATCTGGCCTGATACGGGGGAGCATGGGGGAATAACCCTGTTCGAAAGATGAGAAAGATCAAGCAAGCCCACCTCAGTCCCTGGGACCTCTGCATCCCAGACACCTGGGGAGGGGGCACCCTAAAACCACACCCTCTCAGCCAACCTTTAGGCTCGTGTTCTATCAAAGACAAACTAACTGTTCCTTGCCTGGTCTGCCTCATGCCCCTGATCTGCCCCTGACCTCTCCCATTACACCTCAGGGGGCCCCTTCTGTCCCCTGTCACCTGCCCTCCTCTGCAGCCAGCTCGGAGCAGCTGGTGACTGACTGGCCAGCCAGGCCTTGACCCTGTGCCCTACTCTTGCCTCTTGCTCTCTGGCTATCCAGCTCTCTCGTGCTCCAGCTCATTTGATCTCAACCCGCCCAGGAAGTCTGGTGCTCATTTTACAAATGCCAGGCTGAGGAGGCTCAGGGAGAGACACTTAGAGGTGACTGGCCCAGGGCCATACTGTGGAGGTACAGGGTAGGGTCTCACTCTTGAGCTGGAGTTTCTGTCTACCATGGAAGCTGTGGCCACAGGAGTGGGGTGACTCTGCCCTCTCGAGGCTTCCCTGTTGCTAGCCTGTCCACTCCCCAGGCCTTTGCTTGCACCCTGTGTCAGACCTGACCAAATACAGTGTGTAGAGGGAAGGAGGCAAAGATTTTGCCGAAGTCCCAGAATCACAAATACAGAGGCCAGGCCTCCATCCCAGACCCACAGAATCAGTCTTGGGAAGGAGAAACTGAAAATCTTTGGGGTTTCCAAACACCCTAGAAAATTTGAACATCTAGGCATTGCTCCCTAAATTCCTCCTTCCAAACCTTGATTTCTTCCCACGACCTTCTACTCCTCACCCTCGTCTGCAAAACCTTGCCTGCACCCACCAGCCCACAGAGGCTTTGGCCCCTCTCTACTCCTGGACCCTTATGCACGCAGTTCTTGACATCCTGATTCAGCTTTTCACATGTGTGACTGTTAGTCCCCTGGAGCATGGCTACACTCACCTTCCTCCCTGCCAGGGCTCAATACTCATGTTGAATGAAAAGGCATCAGAAGGCCTGAGTCAGCGGCTTAACCTCTCTGAGCCTCAGTTTCCCCATTGGTGAATTAAATAAAAGCCCCTTTTAACGTGTTATTATCACAAGGATTAGCAATAATAATAATAAATGAAGAAGGAAGTGTAAATGGTCTAGCTGGACAGGGCTTTGAGGAGCTAGATCAATCGCATGGGCTGGGTGGTGGCAGATGGGGAGGAGCCGGAGGGGCGGGGGGCCCCACCTGAGAGGAATCTCTTCCCCCCAGCAATTGACTCTCCTGTGTCCAAGATTCGATGAGGCTCCACTTATCAGCAGGACAGCAGGAGTCCCAGATAGTGAGAATAGTTGGACGAATTTTTGATAATGGGATCTGACCTAAATAGTTGAGGACAGAGTCACTTCCTTACAGGGTCATTAGTCCCTCTGAGGACAGACCCTGGACAGCTGGGTCCCTTTAGGCAGCCAGCAGGGGTGCTTAGGGAAGTCAAGCCAACAGGCCAGAGTCTGGTTAAAGAGGCCTCAAGACTTCTACCCGTGCTGCCCCTCCCTTGAAACCCCGTATGGAGCCTAACGAGTAACCCCAAAATGCCCTGGCTCCTGCTTCCGACACCCAGCTCTTATACTAGCACCTGACCCTGACATCAGGAGGGAGGGCAGGCCTCCCAGATGTTGAACATCTGCTCTTGCTGGATCCTAAGCAGGACACCTGTTCATCATCTCCTCTGGTCCTTGCAGCAGCTGGAGTGAAGTGGAGATGACTGTTATCTCCACTTCATGGATGAGAAAGGTGGGATTTAGAAGGCATCAGCAGCTGGCCCAGGTCACTCAGTCAGAAGCAGTGGAGCTGGGACCCACTGAGGCTGCCCCACACCAAAGCCACATGTGCAGCCTTTCAGGCAGTTTAGCCTCCTGCATGAACGCTCCCTCTGCCCAGCCTCGTGTCAGGCCCTCGCTGGAGCAGGCTGAGACCTGCATGAGCCCTAGCCCTGGCTTCCGGCCACTAGCCCCTCTCCCAGGATCTCCTCCTGCCTCTGATCCCAGGACAGCACTGTGACCTTGACTGCAGAGACCACAGAGGGATACTAGGGCTCCGGACACAGACCCTGTGGCTCCCTGCCCCTGACTGCCATCTTGCAAAGGCTGGGGACTGAGGCTTGCCCCAGTGTCCCCAAACCTTCTGTAGGAAGAAAACAAAAACACTGTAGCACATCTCTAGCCGAGGGCTTCTGGGGTAGCATTTCCAGTACTTGCTGGTCTGGGCGGTTCTCACAAGCCCTCAGCCCAGTGACTGAGGTCCCCTCCCCCAGGTGGCTCAGATGAGGGTCTGTCTCCTGGGCCTGGGACCCTACACCCACCTGCCCTGTTCTCTTCCATCCCGCCCTCTCCTTGGTTCTGAAGGAGTTGGGTTGCCCAAGGGCATGCACAACCCACACAGCAGATTTGTGTGGATTAGAAAAAGGGTCCCCTCAGAATGCATGCAGCTCCATGAGCCCCCTGATTTCATTCCGCCCACGTGCCCAGGCAGTCTTGTGCAGTGAACAACCAGTGCAGCTGAACACTGTGGCCCTACTTGTCCTCCTTCACCCCTCAGCTGCAGGCTCCCTGTGACCACAGGTTTCTGCACTTCCAGAAACTCCCCTACTTCTCTGGGCCTTGGGTCGAGTCTGCTTCTAAACTGGACAGAAGTGAGGTGTTGAGAGGACAAAGTGTCCTCTTTGCTATGTCTCTGAGAGAGAGAGGCAGAGAGTACATGATTAAGACTGTTGTTCTCGGTATCAATCTTGACTCTGCTACTTAAGTGCTGTGTGACCTGGGTAGCTACTTCACCTCTCTGTGCCTGTTACCCCATCTGTGAAATGGGAATGCTAACAGCCCTACCTCCTGGAGTTGTGATGAGGATGAAATCAATTAATACACATAAAGGCAGAACAGTGCCTGCCCCCAGGAAGGGCCCAGTGAATTCTAATTTCTCTAGCTTCTAATTCCTTCCTGGCCACTTTCCCTTTCCCCTTTGCCCCGCTACAAAAGCCAGGAATCCTCGCACACAAAGCCCTTTCATGTCACTGCCAGCCGGCAGCGGGTGAGGCTGAGATTAATATTATCCTTATTTTAGGATTGGCTCAGAAAGGTGCTGTGACCAGCCCAAAGCCAGAGCAGGTTAGCCCCCCAGGCCTACTATTCCGGCCCTGCCAGCCAGCATGTGCCTCTAGACTCGCCCTATGAGCCACAGCAGATAGACATCTTGCTGACCCAGCACCTTGCCTGGCCTGAGGTCTCAAACCAGTGCAATAACTTCGGACAAAGCTCAACAGCACCGGCGTGGGGGTACTTCCTGTTGGGACACTTGGGCTCAATGCTGTACTGTCTCCACCATCAGCCTAAAGGTTCCAAGGCCAGGTGGGAGGTAGAGCATTGCAACGTCTCCTTCCGGTCAGGGGGAAATATTCTGGACATGTCTTTTTGTCTCCCTTGACCTTCCACCTTGTACTAGGTGGGATTGGGGATATGCCCCCTATGCCAAAAATCCAGAGAGTCCCCAGGGGCAGAATGGTGCAGTGGGAAGTACCTGGTCTTGGTGAAAATCACTGTTTAAGATTGGATTGACTTTGAGCAAGTTACTTAACCTCTCTGAGTCACAGTTTGCTGATCTACAAAATGGATAGACAAAAATTACCTGCCTTACAGGGTCGTGAGAATTCCACCTAAGGGGTACAGATAAGGCAGGGCTATGAGGAAGTCCCCTGGGGTAAGGTTTCTGGGAAGGCTCAATCCCAGAGAGACCCCCCCCACACACTCTGGAGGTGACCACTGCCTCACAGAGCCACGGAACCCTCTACCCCCACCTCCCTTGGGCATATTCAGAGTGGGTCACTCACACACATCACACATGCATACATGCCACCCACTCACCCAACAGAATGACACCCAAAGAGACTCCTTCCACCTCTGCACACTCAGCCCCTCCAGTCTCTCCACACGGTCACAGACACCACCATACCAAGAACGCCTCACTGCAGGAAGGACCAGCTGAAGGAGCACCCACTCTTCCTCCCTACCTGGCCCTATGTTTTTCTCTCCCCTTGTCCTCTGACCCCACCCATAGCATCACCTCATCTTCTTATCTGGACATCCCCTAAAGCACCAGCCAGGAGTCCTGGCAGTTAGGCGGAGCAGTCAACTCCCAGACAACATAGCCCTGGGATGCACAGTTCACAGGTGGGGGGGATGCCAGGGAAGAAAGCCAATCTAAGGGCCACACGCAGCCCTGGCCCTGGGGCCATCCCTATGGCCCACCTACCACCTCCAAGGAGCCTTCCCAAGGAGCCTGGGCAGGTATCGAAGGCAGCTTCTACCCCTTTCCCTTCCAACCCGCATCTCCGACTCCCCGACTGTCGCCCCCACCCCCACCCCACCCAGGCCTGCCTGCTCAGGACCATTAACCACCCCCTCCCCCCTCTGCACTGCCCTGAGTGATGGTCCATCTA